CATATTTAGGGAGGCTAAGTACACACAAACACACCCATAGACAAATGTGCCTACGTATATATAGATATACACACATAGATATAATAGGTAGATAGGTGTCAGAGTACATTTTCATAACAGTTTCATTGGAACCAATGACTAACCAAGTGTACACAAATTGTCAATGATTTCCTTTTAAAGTACTCCACATTTATAAGAAAGTATAAAATTATAACACGTCTTTATCAGGAAAAGTCTTATCTAACATGGTAGACCCCTAGCGTAATGCGTATAATGATAATCTGTCCTCGTCTTGACGAGAATAAAGAAGTGTATCGTATCGCCAAGGCATGTTTTTGGCTCAGAACAGACCAACTTACAGTTCCTATCCATACATAGGTATTGCATTTTATCTTTACAGTATTTACTTTAGAAGGGTATTACTTTCTATACTATGCAACGTTTAGGCAGCCCGGTATCGCCAAACCATGTTTTTGACTCAGCGTACACCAACATACTATTTCCGTCTGTACAAAAGGCAATTCATTTTACTTTTTACTGTATTTGTTTTAGAAGCAGTATTACTTTCTATATACTGGACTGCATGTTTTCAGGGGATTAGTAAACACAGATACACCCATAGACATAAATGTGTATGTGTATATATACATACATAGACATATATATATAGATATAGTAAGTAGCTAGGTGTCCAAAGTACATTTTCATAACAGTTTCATGAATTGATGGCTAACCAAGTGTACAAATTGTCAATGATTTCCTTTTTAAAAGTACTCCACGTTTATAGGAAGATATAAATATACCACATCTTTATCAGGAAATGTCCTATCTAACATGAAGGTAGACCCCTAGCGTAATGCGTAGGATGATAATCTGTCCTCGTCTTAACGAGAATAAAGAGTGTATCGTTTCGCCAAGGTTTTTTGACTCAGAACAGACCAACATATAATTCCCATCCATACATAGGTATTACATTTAACTTTACAGTATTTACTTTAGGAGGGGTATTACTTTCTATACTATACTGTAACGTTTAGGCAACCCAGTGCACACAAATACACCCATATATTTACATACGCAGATACGTATATATGTATACCCATACATACCTACACATACACATAAATATATATATAGATAAGCGGCCTAGATGTCAGAAAATACACATTGACATTTACACAAAGGAAATGTATACGGGAGTCTCATCGCATTTACATTTCAGCATATCCTTAGGTAAAATAGGCTCACAACCGTAGTTCAATGAAAGCTGTACTGAGAGTGAATTTTACACTGATCTTTGGCACCACCCTCCTTTGTCCAGACTGAATATTGGATATATATCACATTCTCGTCGTAAAGAGTAATTTCACGCTATGGTCCTTTCTTACTTGTGTTTCTTATATTTTGTTTTGGTGGTTCACATGTGTCGGCATTACATCTCTTCATCGATGCTCGTCCAACCCTAGTGAGTAGCGATGTTTTCCCGTCGTGGTCGCTCAGAATGAATAAGTTTATCAGTAGATACAATAAGCATGGTCGTCTCTGGTTGTTCCGGTCCGTGTGGTATCACACTTTCTTTACAGACTATATTGCAACTGGTGACTCCTCAATCCCAATAGTTTTCCATTCACAACTTTTGTTCTGTCTGTAGAGCAATTTGACGTCCATCTCCTTTTTCAACAATTCTCGTTTGTACGCTATACTCTTTTCGAAGTTGATAGGCACGTGTGGCGAGTTTCCCACGATATTTCTTCAGCTTGACAGGTAAAGTCTGTGCGTATTGAGATGCGCTTCTCTAGGAGCATTTGTCTGTTTGGGCCAATGGCTTTGAAAAACGGATTGTCTGTCAAATCATACGGATGAATTTTACCACTATAGGTAGTGGCATCTGGGCGGACCGCCCTGTTGTCGTGAAACGGGGAGGCGGTGGATGTTGACAAAATCCATCTTTTCGAAATCTTCAACCTTCATTTCCGCTAATAGTTCGCGAATTCCAGTCTCGGCGTTGATGTTGTCCGGTATTCCATATACCGACAAGTAAGTTCTGTTTCCGGGAATACATTTCGAATAACATGTCTTTTCTGTCCATCTCCTCACGTAGTTCGTCCACCTCAGATTTTAGTGTTTCGATCTGCTTACGGTTTTCGTCGATGGACTGTGCATTTGAAGGTGATTGATGTCATTACTTCTTGTATTTTAATGTTCGTGTTTTCCAGTTCTCCGGTGTAGTTTATCCATTTTTCTCCGTTAATTTGTCCGAGTGTTTGTTGAGTTCTGTCTTGAAAAAGGCTTTCATGTCTGTGCCTTCTGCCATGTTGTCTTCGTTTCCCGCCTTTTTTGTCGGTTTGATTTATCTGAGAGAGATTTCTGCCTATGGTCGTTTCTAACCTAAATCTGTCCAGGTTAGTGAAGTTTGATGAGTTAGTCACTTCGCTTGAACTTTTTCTGGCTACGTGTAGCTGCCATCACTTGGATTCAGGCGATTTAGACGGAGCTCGCGCCAATGCGTCCTACCCCGCGTTGCATGACCGGAAGTCCAATTTTTGGTGTTTGATATTGCTGGAATATTGCTAAGACAGCAAAAGGTAACAAAGATCATTCCGTCTGATGTGACGTCAACAGTGACTCCAAACCACGGACAAATGTCGAGACGACAAATTCGAACGGCGGCAAATCACCGCCCAGCTTACTGCCAATGAGACGTGATTTTTCAGTAACCCGTGCTTGTCGGAAGAGGCGACTAACGGGATCGGGTCCCTAAATGCGTAGATCGATGCTCATGCTGTTGATCACTGGATTGTCTGATCAGACTCGATTATTTACAGACCGCCGCCATATAGCGCGAATATTGCTGAGTGCGGCGTAAAACTAAACTCACTCAATCACTATTTCAGTCCACCCCCAAAAACAACAACAACAAAACAACAAGAAACAAAACAAAAACAAAACACACGAAAAAACAAACCAACTCATTGCTGACGCTATAGATGACTTGCGACAGATTATCATGCGATGATTGAGAGTATACCTTTCCATAAAATTGTAAGTCCTAAAGAAAGTATTAATCAGATCGAGGCCTCGTATCCAATGCCGATTAAGTTGGAAACCCAAGCCTGTCGTGATACTGTTGTCTGAGTAGATCTATCACATGTGGTTGATCATATATATTAGTTAAAATTACATTGTATCTTGTATTACAGAAAGTTACATGTTGAGTGGACGTTATGGAATATATGATTCAACAAACTACATGTATTAGCATTGCGCCGTACAATAGCTCCGTGAGTGAGTTAGTGAGAGTTTATTAGACTTGTTGGTGTGTATCTTATTTTAGCCACACCCTGTTTGTAGAGCATTTCACAGTAAACAGATCGGCTTCATTCTCAACTGGTAGCGCATATGCTATTGTGAAAGTGTCTATATTCACACCAATATGCAGAATGTTGAGAGTGTGTAACACATCATCCATAAAGATGTTAAAAGCAAGGGATATAACGCACCACCTTGTTTTAAAAACCTCTGTGTTACTTTGCTCATTTTGCAAAACGTTTATGAATTTGAACATATTTGGATGTGATGGACCCATTTGACTTATCTTGGTTCAACATGGTTGGTTTTATGGCACCATCGGTATCGAAGAGGTTCCACGCGGCTCGACCATCAGTTTCCACCCACTGCTCCGTCACGCAGTCGTGAAGTTGAGCACTGTTGGATCACCGACATCTGCTTCGTCCAGAGCATTCAGCCACACCTCGTCTATATCGCACAATCGTACATGAGGCAGAGCAGATGCCCGTCTCACAACCAGATTCACAGATGATTCGTTTGAAGGGTTTGGAGATCAAAGCGTTGTACGCTGCACCATATTGGCTGTATGATATGGAACAGGCATCCCTCAACTGGCACTGGAACACTTGTTGAGCAGCTTGTTGGGCAGCTACCTCGAAGTCTGTGGCAGTGTAGCTTGGTCTCAGGTGATGGCCGTACTCGGCTGCCTTTACTTTCACGGTTTGGAAAAAGTTCTGATATGTCACTTCTTTCTTATCTGGAAGCAGCCCATAAACACAGGGAAACATCTTCCCACCTACAAAGACATGGACAGAATATAATAGACAGTGCAATTTAGGACAAATAGTAAACGTTCCATCATAATAATAAACATCAGCAGCTGCAAGATGTCGCAGGTTGTTCTCGGTGCCGAAGATGAACGTCTGGTCGTCATGGTGTAGGATGAAGTTGTCGCCTCTCTTGGTTAGAGGGTGTACATGTCGGGGAGGACCATGTCTGATCGGTGCCGGGGCAATGGAGGGAGTTCCTTGGCTACTGATCTGTAGTGTGTGAGGTCCTCACACTGTAGAAGGTCAAAGCTGCTTGGATGGTTTCTGGTTTAGTCTCTCAACCCTACAGATAAATTACAGAAGATCAATGTCATAAATGTGATATGTCATATGATTCGTTACTTGATGATCTATATATATATATATATATATATATATATATATATATATATATATATGAACAAAGTCGACCTTTGGGCGACATTTGTGCGACCTTTCTTTAGGCGACAGCTGTCGCCCTAAGGATATATTTCTGTCGCCTAAATATCTGCATGTCACAACTATGTTCATTTTCCTTAATAACTATTCCAAACTAGATGGTTGGATAGAGGGTCGTCTCAGGACCTTCAGGTGTGCTTCTTTTGTATTTTATAAAAATTTCAGTGCTGTTATTGAAAAAACAAAAATATCATATATATAACGTCTGCGACCTTTCGGCGACACGTGGTTTTCTATAAAATTCTCTAACACATGGATATATGTTCAGAAATAAACAATGGAGAAATTATTGTCTAAATATATACTCTTAGGTTTTGTACAGTTTTTTCAAATATACACATCGTCAAGTGTTCAGCATAACATCACTGTTTCGCTCGCAGTACCTTTCGGCGATTTGCCTTCACGCTCCTGTGCGTCAAAAACGTGAAAGTTCAAAAGCGGCAACGTCGAAATGAACACTTAGCTAATAATTCAATAATGTCTGTAGATATTGTGGGAGCTGACAGACAAGACTAATATGCCACCAAGAACACGTTTAAATACTTAAAACATTTCATTCTTCGATCAAAATAACAATGTAATAATCTGTAAATAAATTGAATTCATGTTTCACACGAAGGCCCGTTCACGTTTTGTGTCAAATCGGATCCCCTTTGCTACAGTTTTCGCGCACTACACGAGGTGACTTGGCAGCACAAAGCATTGGGAAATGCATGGTATGTATCGTAATCGGAGTATTTTGTTGAAAACAGCAGCATGTACAATTGTTTCAAAGGCGATGCCTGTCCCATGACACAATCTATTTCAAGATTTCTCAACTGGAAGAAACTGTTTGCTAGTAACTTGATCGCAATTGTGACGTTTCGTATCATGTTGTTTCTTGATCCTCACCTAGGGTTAGACTATCGCTTAGTGTCTGAATATGATTTTTTTTATATCAACAAACAAACGCATTATAAATTGAAAAGGAGCCCCGGGGAAAACAGAACTTGAGAAAATCTAGACTTGCTTCATTTAGGGCCTTTAGCATTGCAGAAAGGGCAAGGCAGTAGGGAAAATAATATTGTGGTTCAGGGGACTGTGACACAGACTACAGGGTACAGTAGTTGGCTATAAGTGAGTCATCATTAGTGAAATTTCCATAGACTTACATGTTAATTAACTGTTGCAAGAATAATTTTCATAAATTGAGTAGAAGTTTGCAAACATCTTGGAAATCATCTTCAGCTACGTGTACATAATTTTCTTTCATCTTTTCATTGATTAGTTATCGAATGACACCTGATTAAGCACCATAAATACAACTTTATTTTTATCTATCCCATAGACATGTTAAACCTGATTGGTATGTCTAATATATTTTGTTTAAGAAGTTGCAGTCTTCTTAATAATCCTCGGAAAATTGAAAGGAAATTATGTGTACAAAGCTGGTAGATAAGTGCTGAAAGCAATTCCACCCAAACTAAATGTATGAAAATTATTCTTGCAAGAGTTAATTAACATGAAAATCTATGTGAATTTCACTATTGATGACTCACTTATGGCCAACTACTGTAGATCCACAACCGAAAGAGCTAATCACAGCTGTATGATTTTATGTTCACTCAGTGGGTGAAATTGACCTTTTACTTTTAGGTGCAGTTCCGGTGCGGCAAAAAAAACCCCAAAACATTTCTCATTCTGACGCCTGATATTCAGGGTATCAGACTGACTTTTGCACTGATATATTGTTTTCTTATTTTAAATATATATCTACCAACTAATAGATAAATAAACCACCAAAACAGTCAATAACCATTACTAATTTCAGGAACTAACCAAATCTGTAAGACTTGATTTCAGTAAAATTACTTATAGGCCAAATGTAGACATAGCATAACACATTACAATCGGTTTTATCACCCACACTGCATATTCTGACCATGGGGTAATACTCATTGACATGGGTTTGCTCAAATAATGAGCTGATAGTGCAGTGTTGAGGAAGACTTGTAGTTATAGTTTCATAATGGCACTCTCCATTGTTGCTCTTTGCTGTTTCCTCTGATAGCTGAACTACACATTTTTATATCAGCTACACATTTCCTAAATTGTTCATGCAAAGGAAATATGCATTTGCTCTCTTGACCATAATGTGTTTCAGTTACATTATTGATATCAAGAGTTTCTAACTTTCAAATATAGCTTTTTGTACTCCTGCTTTGAACCCTGCTCCTTTGGGTGTTTATGTGCAGTCTATCTCCTCCACTGGTCTATCAGAGTGAAAATATCAGTGTATAGTGATGAAATGTATATGTTGCACCATTTTCATGCTAATAATAATAATTATCTCCATATGAGTACAAAGATTGTAGCCTACCACCTTATTACCTACAAGTAAAGGCTGTCTGGGTCAAACCTTGTTTGTTTTTAGTAACCTGATACATTTTGTGGCTGATTATGACAAGAATTTCTAATTACCAGAAAACACATTTACTGATGCTGAGAGATCCTAAAAGATAAAAACTTTTCTTGCATTTGGCCCAGGACTATAACCATGTCTGTCCACATGCCACTGCCACTCAGCCAGCATAATTATGAGCAATACATCCTCCCACTCACAGGTTACTCAACTGACAACCATAAATGTTGGTTACGTTGTATTTTTCTGCACTTGGTCCAAACTTGATATAGTTTCAAATGCTAGAGATTTTCCACTTCACTGGTGCACTTGAATCTGTTAATTCAATATTGTGCATGAATACAGTCAGAATTCCCTTTTTGAGCTTTCATAATTCCATGGCAGCTACTCTTATCTTTGTATGCTTAATGCAGGGACATTTCCTCATTTCAAAGTCTAAATCCTGTACATTGTGTAACATAGGAAAGAGGGTAAATACCAGTGGACAGGATAAGATTAACTGAAAAATCAAGGATGGATCTCACTAAACACATTAAGACATGTTATAACTTATTGGTTGGTCAATAGACCAACTGTTCCTATCTGCAAGGGATATGTTATTAGTCTTTTATGGTTTTTAAGTTCCCTTAGCAGTCAAATTACATAAAAGGGTAATTTTGTTCAAAGCGGGTGTTTCTTAAACAAACTATTTCTCTTTTTAAAAATGGAGGTGAAGTTTAACATTTCTTTCAGTACAAATTGTAAGAATTAAAGCCTCTTCCTGTTGTAAGTAACCTTTACAAAGCCATAATAACAGTTTCAGAAATGCCTCTTTGATGCATCTATTTTAGGTAGTGTGCTATTCATCATTGGTCCATCATCGGCTAATAGTTTGCATTGTCGACTAACACCAACATCTCTGAACAGCACTGGGCAGACAGTATTGATATAAATCATAGAATCGATGATTATTATTATGAATAGTAAATTAAAAATAAACCTGAAAGAAATCAACATTTTGTATTACTTGTGAGTTTTACCTTTATGCATGGATGACTAACAAAATCCTGAACATGACTTAGAAGCAACCCATGAATAAAGACATAACTTTGTATATTGTGTGAGTAAAGTGAAACTATGATATTATGGGTATTCTTTAATTCCAATCAAATTGACTTGATGGCACAAGTTTTTCCTTTGGTCACCCTTCAACTCAAGATCAAAGTTGACATAGACTGTAAAAAGTCAGGAAAGATCTAGCCTGTCTCATAGTTCCTGAACTGCATTATTTTTACTTCCGTCTATGCCTTTCTGCAATGATAAAGACCTAATTTAAGCAAGTCTAGATTTACTTAGTTTCAGGAATCTCCCATCTCACTGGAGCTCCTTTTCAGTTTAAAAGGATTATTTTGATTCTATCAAAATTATATATATTCAGAGACTAATTGCTAGTCTCGGATGGTCCTGTTAGACATGGAAATCCTATCCAATCCAGTTTATGCCTGGTAAGTTAATTTTATTTTACAATGGTTTCTGAATATGAAACATTGTAAATTCATAATGTATGTATGTTGTTAGGGTGATAACTAAATCATGTAGAATTTTAAATACTTTATCAGTTCAGAAGAAAAAATATTATTTCCTAAGCTCAGTTTTGAATTTAAGTTCATAATCATTTTGAGAATAATATTGTTAACATTTTAATGTTACATAATACAGACAACTATGAACGGGACCAAGACACGTTGAGCTTGGCAGAGGAGAAATGTGATCTTCAAATTGCAGAATCCCGAGGGGGAGTCTCAGGCATTCCAAAGTGAGGAAGTGGTAGGTTATGTGATCCAGAGATCAATACCTTCATGTTACTAGATTTAAGTTGTGAATACCAATTTTACAGCTTTGTTAAATTTATTTCTACCTTAACTAGGGATGTCGCGATACATAAGTTTCATGAATCGATACGTATCACGATACTCATGACATGATTCGATATGTATCATGATACCTATTTTCGCTGCATTATTGTGTAATATTAGTTACATTTTGAACATTAAATATTTTATATTTTATAAGCGTCCTTGAAAAGATCCACGTTTTCTATTCTCAGAGATTAAAAAGTTCTAATTTCCCATCTTTGTGTATGAAAAATAATCATTTATAACTCTCATAACATAAAAAACGTGATACAATTGCAAAATGTGAACGATACATATTAAAACATGTTTAAATCAATACTTTCAAAACTAAATATCGATAGAGTTTTGAATGCATCAATGATTGTATCATCTTAGAAAAAAGTATCGATGTATCGTGGCATTCCTAACCTAAACATTGTTCTGGCCTACCTTTAGAATTCAGCACCACAAACTTGCAATACCCGATGAAGTAATGCCTCATGAATCTTTGCAATTTGTTTAATCCTTCTCAATATTAGTACAGTTATCTTGAATGGTTGTGTGCCGATCAGTACCGAGTGCAGCAATACATGTTTTAGGTATTATCTCAATACAGGATCTTTTACTATTCATAAAAGTATCAAGCAATTCAAAATGGCCAATAAGAGATTAATTAATAGACATGGAATAGCCTTATATACAGATAGTCTGTCTCTGATGACATATATGAAAAATTTAAAGAAAAACTGTATATACTCTCATAACAAGCAGTTCCAGACAAGTATTGTGGTTCTGATCATGGAAATCTTTACAGAAAATGTAGAAATTTTGAAAATTGGCATAATTTGCTCTTTTCAAATATCAATAGGGTAATTTTCAACATTTTGAAGCTTTTCTATTGACTTTTGCACTTGATTGATGTCCAAACATTTGCAATTCAAAATTTATCCCTGCAATAATCATATCTTTTATAATAGAGATATCATTTTCACTTTTAGGTTACTATGTATTCATATCTTACCACAGTTTTATAGAGAGCTGATGCGTGTAGGTGTTTCAGTAGTGCACACAATTCAGAAAGGATTGGCATTTTTCAATACAGAGTATACAAATTAACATATTCCCTACATTTTGTTGTTTGTCTGTTGTCAAACTTTCAATCTTCCATCGGATAATCAGGTGTATTAAAGTTCTGACACCATTATGTTCATATCACTTGGGTCGGTTGGGGGTGGGGATGGGTGGGTTCTCAATTAAATTTGTTTTACATAATTGTATCAGGTGTTTAAATGGGTTGTTATCAAATGATTCATGTAATTGTTGATACATTTGCATTAATGTTTTGGTGTCTTTCATACACAGGAAATTCAGCAAATGAGAACTGAAGACACCTCTATTCCATGATAGCAGATACATTTTATTTGTTTATCTTTTCAGGATTCAGATGTAGTATCTGTGAGAAAGTACTGACATGTAAAGGTGGATATACTGTTCATCAGCAGATGACTTGAAGTCAAAAGGTACCACCAGTTTTTAGTAGTGTCTTTCTAGATATCAAGATAGTGAACACCAATAACATATATCATGATACAAAGTCAAGAATGTGTTTATCTCGACTGCTTTATGATATCCCTGGCAGGTCATTAGTAAATCAATCAAGCTAAATTCCATTGTATGCAACTAGGATGTGTGGTCTAAAGGTCTGTGTTGATGATGAATAGGATGTATCTTGTTGACCATCGGGCAACTTCTATATATATATATGTATTAATATTCAGCAGAATGTTGGGTAACACATCATATCTGTTATAATCACAGCCCATTGGGCAACACATCCCATCTATTATTTTTACGTACCTTTGGCCAACACATCCAATCTGTTATTTTTACAGACCATTGGGCAACACATATATATTCACATCAGACCTTATCAGAGGACCTTTGGGCAACACATCATATCTGTTATCAGCTGACCTTTGGGCAACACATCATATATTTTCAATAGACCTGTGGGCAACACACATCATATAATCAGTAGACCTTAGGGCAACACATCATATATATCAACAGTAGACCTGTGTGCAACACATCTTATATATCACGAGTAGACTTTTGGTCAACACATCTTATATATCACCAGTAGACCTGTAGGCAACACATCTTATATATCACCAGTAGACCTTAGGGCAACACATCCTATATATCACCAGTAGACCTTAAGTCAACACATCATATATGTCACCAGTAGACCTTTGGGCAACACATCTTATATATCCCCAGTAAACCTTAGGGCACACATCATATATATTACCAGTAGACCTTAGGGCAACACATCTTATATATCACCAGTAGACCTTAGGGCAACACATCTTATGTATTACCAGTAGACCTTAGGGCAACACATCATATATATTACCAGTAGACCTTAGGGCAACACATCTTATATATTACCAGTAGACCTTAGGGCAACACATCATATGTATTACCAGTAGACCTTAGGGCAACACATCTTATATATCACCAGTAGACCTTAGGGCAACACATCTTATATATCACCAGTAGACCTTAGGGCAACACATCTTATATATCACCAGTAGACCTTAGGGCAACGAATCATATATATTACCAGTATACCTTAGGGCAACACATCATATATATTACCAGTAGACCTTAGGGCAACACATCTTATATATCACCAGTAGACCTTAGGGCAACACATCTTATATATCACCATTAGACCTTTGGGCAACACATCTTATGTATTACCAGTAGACCTTAGGGCAACACATCATATATATTACCAGTAGACCCGTTGGCAACACATATATCACCAGTAGACCTTAGGGCAATACATCATATATATCACCAGTAGACCTTTGGGCAACACATCATACAATCAGTAGACCTTTGGCCAACACATCTTATATATCACCAGTAGACCTTAGGGCAACACATCATATATATCACCAGTAGACCTTAGAGCAACACATCTTATATATCACCAGTAGACCTTATGGCAACACATTATATATACCACCAGTAGACCTTAGGGCAACACATCATATATATTACCAGTAGACCTTAGGGCAACACATCTTATATATCACCAGTAGACCTTAGGGCAACACATCTTATATATCACCAGTAGACCTTTGGGCAACACATCTTATGTATTACCAGTAGACCTTAGGGCAACGAATCATATATATCACCAGTAGACCTTAGGGCAACACATCATATATATCACCAGTAGACCTTAGGGCAACACATCTATATATATCACCAGTAGACCTTAGGGCAACACATCTTATATATCACCAGTAGACCTTAGGGCAACACATCATATATATTACCAGTAGACCTTAGGGCAACACATCATATATATTACCAGTAGACCTTAGGGCAACACATCTTATATATCACCAGTAGACCTTAACACATCTTATATATCACCAGTTAGACCTTAGGGCAACACATCTTATATATCACCAGTAGACCTTTGGGCAACACATCTTATATATCACCAGTAGACCTTAGGGCAACACATCATATATATTACCAGTAGACCTTAGGGCAACACATCATATATATCACCAGTAGACCTTTGGGCAACACATCATACAATCAGTAGACCTTTGGCCAACACATCTTATATATCACCAGTAGACCTTAGGGCAACACATCATATATATCACCAGTAGACCTTAGGGCAACACATCTTATATATCACCAGTAGACCTTATGGCAACACATCTTATATACCACCAGTAGACCTTAGGGCAACACATCATATATATTACCAGTAGACCTTAGGGCAACACATCTTATATATCACCAGTAGACCTTAGGGCAACACATCTTATATATCACCAGTAGACCTTTGGGCAACACATCTTATGTATTACCAGTAGACCTTAGGGCAACACATCATATATATTACCAGTAGACCTTAGGGCAACACATCTTATATATCACCAGTAGACCTTAGGGCAACACATCTTATATATCACCAGTAGACCTTAGGGCAACACATCTTATATATTACCAGTAGACCTTAGGGCAACACATCATATATATTACCAGTAGACCTTAGGGCAACACATCATATATATCACCAGTAGACCTTAGGGCAATACATCTTATATATCACCAGTAGACCTTAGGGCAACACATCATATATATCACCAGTAGACCTTAGTAGCTTAAGGCAACACATCTTATATATCACCAGTAGACCTTAGGGCAACACATCTATATATATCACCAGTAGACCTTAGGGCAACACATCATATATATATCACCAGTAGACCTTAGGGCAACACATACAATCAGTAGACCTTAAGGGCAACACATATATATCACCAGTAGACCTTAGGGCAACACATCTATATATATCACCAGTAGACCTTAGGGCAACACATCTTATATATCACCAGTAGACCTTAGGGCAACACATCTTATATATCACCAGTAGACCTTAGGGCAACACATCATATATATTACCAGTAGACCTTAGGGCAACACATGATATATATCACCAGTAGACCTTAGGGCAACACATCTTATATATCACCAGTAGACCTTAGGGCAACACATCTTATATATCACCAGTAGACCTTAGGGCAACATATATATATCACCAGTAGACCTTAGGGCAACACATCTTATATATCACCAGTAGACCTTAGGGCAACACATCTTATATATCACCAGTAGACCTTTGGGCAACACATCTTATATATCACCAGTAGACCTTAGGGCAACACATCATATATATCACCAGTAGACCTTAGGGCAACACATCTTATATATCACCAGTAGACCTTAGGGCAACACATCTTATATATCACCAGTAGACCTTAGGGCAACACATCTTATATATCACCAGTAGACCTTAGGGCAACACATCTTATATATCACCAGTAGACCTTAGGGCAACACATCTTATGTATTACCAGTAGACCTTAGGGCAACACATCATATATATCACCAGTAGACCTTAGGGCAACACATCTATATATATCACCAGTAGACCTTAGGGCAACACATCTATATATATCACCAGTAGACCTTAGGGCAACACATCTTATATATCACCAGTAGACCTTAGGGCAACACATCATATATATTACCAGTAGACCTTAGGGCAACACATCTTATATATCACCAGTAGACCTTAGGGCAACACATCTTATATATCACCAGTAGACCCTTAAGGCAACACATCTTATATATCACCATTAGACCTTTGGGCAACACATCTTATATATCACCAGTAGACCTTAGGGCAACACATCATATATATTACCAGGAGACCTTAGGGCAATACATCATATATATCACCAGTAGACCTTTGGGCAACACATCATACAATCAGTAGACCTTTAGGGCCAACACATCTTATATATCACCAGTAGACCTTAGGGCAACACATCATATATATCACCAGTAGACCTTAGGGCAACACATCTTATATATCACCAGTAGACCTTATGGCAACACATCTTATATATCACCAGTAGACCTTAGGGCAACACATCATATATATTACCAGTAGACCTTAGGGCAACACATCTTATATATCACCAGTAGACCTTAGGGCAACACATCTTATATATCACCATTAGACCTTTGGGCAACACATCTTATGTATTACCAGTAGACCTTAGGGCAACACATCATATATATTACCAGTAGACCCGTTGGCAACACATATATCACCAGTAGACCTTAGGGCAATACATCATATATATCACCAGTAGACCTTTGGGCAACACATCATACAATCAGTAGACCTTTGGCCAACACATCTTATATATCACCAGTAGACCTTAGGGCAACACATCATATATATCACCAGTAGACCTTAGAGCAACACATCTTATATATCACCAGTAGACCTTATGGCAACACATCTTATATACCACCAGTAGACCTTAGGGCAACACATCATATATATTACCAGTAGACCTTAGGGCAACACATCTTATATATCACCAGTAGACCTTAGGGCAACACATCTTATATATCACCAGTAGACCTTAGACAACACATCTTATATATCACATCTTATATATCACCAGTAGACCTTAAGGCAACACATCTTATATATCACCAGTAGACCTTAGGGCAACACATCATACAATCAGTTTACCTGTGGTCAATACATGTTATATGTCCCCAGTAGACCTTAGGCAACACATGATATATATCACCAGTAGACCTTAGGGCAACACATCATACATATCACCAGTAGAACTGTGGTCAACACATGTTATATATCCCCAGTAGACCTGTGGGCAACACATCTTATATATCACCAGTAGACCTTAGGGCAAACACATCTTATATATCACCAGTAGACCTTAGGGCAATGTATCTTATATATCACCCATAGACCTTAGGGCAACACATCATATATATTACCAGTAGACCTTAGGGCAACACATCATATATATCACCAGTAGACCTTAGGGCAAGACATCATATATATAACCAGTAGACCTTAGGGCAACACATC